TGATTTCTTTTTTCAAGACGTACTTATTCGGTTAGAAATAGGCTTAATATTGATGATGTAGACTGTCATACACGCGGTTGAATTGCTTGTGTCTTTTCCGCAGCGACCTGTGCTTCCGTACGAAGGTCGGCTCAGTTGCGGAGCAAAGATGTCGGCGGCGGCTGCGGGCCCCTCTTACCCAACCCGGCCGCTTTCATTCAGTTTTAGTTCTTTTAGACAGAAGCGCTGGGCGTATATTTTAGGTTATGACTATAGTGGTTATTCATTTGCTGAATAGGGGACACCAAGACTAGTGCCAATCTTGCGGAAAACCGCGGCCCGCCGCGGCGCGTGGGAGGTGCGTTTTGATGAACCTTTGGCCGATCTGCAGCACAGACCTGAGGGCTCCTTTTGAGTTTCTTATTGTTTCACGTTGGCTTATTGAGCAGTTGGAAGGGGCACACAGGTCCGAAATATGCGGTTTTTGCAAAAGCGTCGCATTTTGTAGCGCTAATTTACAGAGCCAGACAGCGAGAGAGGATAGCGGCGAGAAAAGAACAACAGATCACAGGACAACACATCCGATAGATACAAAACCAGATGACATAGTAAAAGCGAGAGCATCAGTAGATAACGAGGCATAGAGGACAAAGTATAGAACGCCGGGTTCGAACGAAGGAACAACACGGGCGCGATAAAACGAAGTTAATAACAGTTTGTTCAAAAACGAGGAGGGAAGAGAGAACAAAAGCGAGCGAAAGCATGGAGAAGGCATTTTGTGAGCATAGAGTGGGGGGTAGTCCGATCACCACGTGTAGCCCTGTTGAGGAGTGGTCCTGGCCGGGTACTGGTAGGCGGGGTTGTACATCGGAGGCTGCTGCTGCTGGGGGTTGACGTACATGCCCTGAGGAACCTGTTGGTACTGAACACCCTGAGGCAATTGGTATTGCTGAGGGGGAACGGCGCCAGTGGTCATTGGCACACCGAAGGCGGGTTGACCGGGTTGGTACGCGACTGGCTGACCCTTGTTGTAGTAATCAGCAGGGGTGATGGTGGCGGCGGATTCTCGGCGGCCGTTGGGATCGTAGAGCTGGTAAGCTGGAACGCCGTTGTGAGGAGGCAGGATGTATTGTTGCGAGAAGTGGGCAGAAGATGGAGATGAGGACGAGGACGAGGAGGAGGCCCAACCATCGTCGGACGAACCGGAGCTCGGGGGTGGAGAAGAAGAGGTGTATCCATCGCCGGACTCAGTTCGGGCGTGCCACTGGGAGATCGAAGCGTACATGGGAGTGGTCATTTGAGGGCGGGTCTGGTGTGGAAATTGTCGGGTCAGATGGTGTTAAGGCGGAGACGTAATTAAGAGAACAACGTACGGGAGGGAAGACACCTTGGACCCAGACGTTGCGGTCGGGGAAGCGACGAGCATCGAGAGCGGTGAGATCATCGACAGAGCCCCAGAGGAGGCTATCGGCTGTAAGAGGATGATAAAGTCAGATGAGCACAAAGTTCATAAAATGAGCGCGGAATGAGAGGCGGACTTACGTTGCTTAAGGCCGAAGAGCTTGACGCCGCGTTCTTCGCGCTTAGCGATGCACTTCTTAGACCTCCGGAGATGGCCAAGGAGCGAGTTGGGCGCGGTGATGTTAGCGGAAGACAAGTCAGAGTGGCATGCTGGGCAGTAGCCAGACTCTGCGGTAATGATGTAGAAGGGGACGTTGGCCTTTCGGAGGGGGCTGAGAACCTCTCGGATGTTGTCGAGAGTGATGGTGGTGAAGAGCTTGGATTCAGCAGACATGATTGTTTCCAGTAAGAGGTGTAGAGAATAGGAGCTGGGGGTGAGAGTGTGTGAGGGAGGTGGATGTGTTGAAACTGGAGGAGGGGGCGAATGATGCTGGTGAAAAACACAGAGGTCGACTCGGTATTTAGCCCTTCGCGCTGTGTTTTGCCTTGGGCCCTCGACATCCGCCATGTAGCCGCGGCGAGTCAGGGTATAGTCGTAGAGCGGTAAGGCTTGCGGTGTTGGAGATGCTGGAGACGATGCTGAGAAGATGCTGGGTTGAATCTGTGATGGTCAGTGTTGTGCAATATAAGGGGTTGGGATGTGCAACTTGCTAAGCTCTCTCGAGGTTAGCGGCTCAAGTGCGGTGGTCAGATCCAGATCTCATCCAACCCTGGGGACCCAGATTGACTTTTCCCAGCGGCGGATCTACTCTGCGGCCATAGAGAGCACCCGCCGTGGGAGTCGTGGACGAAAAGCGGCTCTACTCCAGGGTCCCCCCTTCGCCGCCGTTCACCACCCCCCCAGCGCCATCAGCCGCATAATGAGCATCCAATGAAACTCGGTTATTGCGCGTCTCAGCCGCGCCACAGTCTTTACCGCCGCTTTCCGCTCAGATCTGGAAAATTCAGATCTGGTCCAATGTTCAATCTACGCAATCTCAGACCACCGGACCACCCTCAACAGTTCGGTTCAAACGAACAACCTACTTACACCTCCAACTCCCGACTACCACCGCGACTCCCGCCAATGTACACAGCGCTGAAGGACGTTGTCAGGAGTTAAAAGAGAGCTCTATTAGCTAAGAAGCGGCGATAGATTCACTTCTAGCGGAAACACCCCAGCTGCCTCCCCTGCGCAAAAAACACAGGTGTACCCAACCAGAGCCACGTTCCCCTTCGTCCCATCTGTTGTGTGCAACTTACACAGTTTGGCTCCCAGTTCCAACCGCGTTGGATCTCACATGCCTTTCTCGACAGGACCGGACGTCCACCGGGGGTCCGGGAAGCGGCCAAAGGCAGGAGGGTTCTGAGCAAGTTGCACACTCGTCTACACCTAAATGCCATGCTCTGAGCAACTTACTCAGACTAATAGAAAGGCTCGCGCAGCCCTGTGGGACAACGGACGATGTGCAGACGTTCTTCTAGATTCGGATCGTCTCCAACGAATCGTCGGGGGTCCGGTCGTCGTCCACGTTGTTCAAGCGACGCCGGGCCCGACACCCGCCTTTCTTTGGTTGCCAAATTGGTTAGACGACGGGCGGGAGGTCTGCGGAGCATTTTGGGGGTCGGTTGGAGTTGCAAAGTCTTGCAAGTCGTTGGGCAAAGTCGTCGTGAGTGCCCCCCATCGTTCAAGTCGTTCGCCCTCTAAGCCTGATCCAGTTTCAGCCCATCAAACTTCGAAGACCTGAGGACCGGAGACTGGTGTGTTAATTGCCAGATCTGCACAGTCCTGCCCTGTCATGGACGCAAATCCACACAGCTTATCAACCTTCGTTCCCATGTGGTTGTCCAGATGGGTCTACGAACCTCTACCTGGGGCAGCTCAAACCACGGCTTCAAGCTTTTTTGTTCCTAGAAAGCCATCATCAGAGTGATTCTGTGTCCTCTGGGTGTTTCCTTCGGTCTCGAGCGCTCCTTCTGCGTTATGGGAACATTTTTGCACCAACTGTGTTCACCGCTCCTGAGTGGTCACAAGAAAGAATGATGGGTGGTCCCGTAAGCCTACACACTTTCTCTCACCTATTTTCTCTCGCTATTCTTACGACAACGCCATTCTTAGAAAGGTCCCGACAAATAGCCAAAGCATATGCTACTTCGCAGGTGTTGGGGCATTCAGTGCTGCTCTGCCCGACACGACGAAAGTCCACATCCAACTGCGGTCATTCTTAGACTCATTATATAGCTACCGTGATCGGCTGTTCCCGTGGCAAAACAGATCGGGGGTGCTTCTTCCTCCCTCCAAGCTTCTGGCGCCCGATTCACTCTGTGCGCTTCTCTCCCCTCCTATTTGCTTATCTTTTTTCTTACCACTCAGCTTCCACTTTCTCGGGAGCAATATTGCTGTTTCTGGTAGAGAGTGTCCTGCATGCATGGGAGAGAGAGGGTGAGCTTCGAGATAACGTAGCTTTCATTCAAGGTGAGTTTACCTTTCAGAGCTGCTAATGAACGATCGAAACTCAGAGATGAAAATGAGCTTTTCTTTGGCTTTTGCTTCCTTTACCCCGCCTCCCCCCTCTTTCTCGTGAGGGGTGGAGTGCAGCGCGTTGCACCAGGCTCATTTGGGTAATGGGTGGCGAAAGACGTAAGCCGAAACACCTCAGCACCTTTCATCTGCGCTCGGGTGCGCATCGTTTGTTTGCGTACTTCGGTTCAAGCGTCTCTCCCGCACCACATCAGCTCCTGTACTAACTCCCGGGCATGTGGACGTCCCAACCCGATATCTCAGGTGGGGGGGTCGTGAGTGTACGCAAGGATCTGGGGTCGAAAAGGTGAAGTTGCATCCACTCATCCCTTGACCTCACTCCTCTCTGACGCCGCATCGACTGGGTCGCACTTGCCTATTAGGAGAAACTCGGAGTCCGCGTGAGCGAGTGCGTATTCACGTTTA